GAAAACTCTTAGAAGAAAACATAGAAATCTTTCACAACCTTGGATTTGGCATTACATATGACACCAAAAGCACAAGCAACAAAAGAAAAAATAGATGAAAAATTTGGGCTTCATTACAATTAAAAATTTTGCGCACAGACACTATCAAGGCAGTCAAAAGACAACCCATAGGAGAAAATATGTGTAAATCATGTTTTTGATAAGGTATTAATACATAAAATATATTTTAAAAACTCCTACAACAACAACAAAAAAAAACAAACACAAAATGGACAAAGAACTTGAATAGACATGTCTCCAAAGAAGCTATACAATGGCCAAGAAGCAGATGAAAAGACGTTCAATATCACTAGATATTATGAAAATGCAAATCAAAAATCACAATAAAATATCACTCCACACCCTTTAGGATAACTATTATTAAAAAAAAATGAAAAATAACAAATTGGTGAGAAATATGAAGAAATTGGAAACTGTGAATTGCTGGTAGGAATGTAAATTGGTGCAGCCCCTACGGAAAACAGTTTGGCAGCTTCTCAAAAAATTAAACATAGGATTACCATACAATCCATCTACTCTATTCCTAGATAAGCATCAAAAAAAACTGAAAACACAAACTCTGAACACCAATGCTCACAGCAGCATTATTTACCTTGGCCAGAAGGTGGAAACCCAAATGCCCAACAACATCTGAATGGATCAACAAAATGCAGTATATACATAAAACGGAGTATTCAGCCTTAAAAACAGAACAAAAGTCTGACATATGCTACAAGGATGAACCTTGAAGATACTCAAAGTTCTAAGAGAAATAGGCCAGCCACAAAAGGACAAATATTTTATGGTTCCACTTAAATGAAGTAACTAAGTAGTCGTATTCATGAAAATAGAAAGTAGAATGATGGTTGCAAGGGGCTAGGTAGAGGGAGAAAGGTAAGTTATTGCTTAATGGTTATAAAGTTTGGGGTAGTGAAAAAGTTTTGTAAATTTATGGTGGTAATGGCTGTACAACACTGTGAATGTAACTGATGCCAATGAATTTCACACTTAAAAATTGTTCAAATGACCAATTTTATGTATGTATGTATTTTACTATCATAAAATTGTTTTTTAATTACACTTAGTAACAAGACCAACTTTGGTGGCACATTATAGAATAGGAAAAAATATTCTACAATTTTTAATAATTGCCTTTGCCAGAGCTGGGGGAAAGGGGAGAGGATGTTAAGGCAAAGAGAAACATCACAAAAAATATTAATAACCGGTAAAATGACAGTACCCAAGATCTTGACTTGAAGTTTCACAACTCCTAGAACTATCTCCTGAGCCCATTCGCCTCCTTTTGGATGGCTGGGTCCCATCATTTGAATTATCTTCATTATCATCCTATACATTTAAAAGATTCAAAAATAATAATTAGAGAAAGAATAAAAGAACAATAAGTCTCAATAAGTGAAAGACTGTCTAAGGACATGTAGTCATACAAGCATTAACTTCATATTATAATTAAAAGGGACCAAGAGTTTGGCATAAGCAAGACCTGGAATAAAATTTAAAACTGATCTTCAATCCAATCAAAATAAGAGTATTTTCAATTAACCCGTAAATGTAAATCTGCTTTTGCTTTCTTGCCAACTGAGGTTAAAATGCTTTCTGCTCTTCATAAACACATAAAACTGCTGCATCACTCTAGGATTAAAGCAAACTCTCCTACCCAAGCCCAGGGAGGAAAAAATGTATGGATCATTTACAGTTCCCAGTTCAACTTGGAGTCGGTTCATAGGACTATTTTAATTGACTAGGCATTTATGTCCCCATGAAAAGGGGACATACAAGACTGAAAACAATTCTAACTATTCACTCTTCCTCTTACATTGCTAAAGGTTAGCAAAAATATACCCTAGTAAGGGTCATCAATCTATAATATAGCAACACACACTTCAAAAAAAGAACCTTGAGAGGGGGAGGGGAATTTTTTTTTTTTAAGGAAGAGGCTTATATATTTTTAATGTAATACATTATGTGGCAAGAACATGAAGGTTATAAATTCAAACACTGCACTCAGAAAATGTATCAGATGTTAGGAAATTGATTTATTTACTTATCAGCCAAAGCTTAAGGTCTAAAAAAATCATAATTTTTAAAATGTAATATAGCTTTTAACGCTAATCCAATTTTGCTAAATATCATGGTGTTCTTGCTACATATTAAAATGAAAGGAATCCTACAAAAGAATATAAAGTGGCAATATGGTATAGTGGCCAGGCATGCCAGAGCTGGACGGCCTAGGTTCTCACTGGGCACCGTCCCTTACTAGCTGAGTAAGTTACTCTCTGTAAGCATCTCCTTATCTGAAAATTTGAGATTATAACAGAGCCCCTATTACATGGCTAATTCAATGATTAAATGAGCTACTATATTAAAAGTACTTAGAACAAGGACTAGCGAATTATCTGACAAATACTAGTTAAAATGATGATTATGATAATAAAGTCTCAAATGTCCCTAGCTCCTAGGAATTTACTGGTTCCTTTCCAAATAGTAAAATATATAATCTTTTTCAGTCCTTATAAAATTAGCATTTCATTAAAGAGCTCTGCACAGTCTAAATCTACTCTCTGAAAATTTGCATAAGTATCACAACTGCAACATTTCATATTCAATACTTTTAACATAACTCATTTTAAACATTCCAGTATTTTTTTCTATTTTATTTGTGAGCATTTTAAGGATTTTTATGTCCTTAAACTTAAGTATATTTCCCTTTAGCTAAAAAATTGAGACACTCAAAAATATACAAAAATAGTTAAAAATGCAAAGTGCTCAAAAAAGCTGAGACTACAATTTCAAAAAGTGTTTTAAATTACTAGTACAAATTCTAGGCAAAGGCATTATTATACAAAGTGAGCATCTGGGCAGAGAGCCTTTTTCTAGAGAGAGGTAGTAACAGCAATATTGTTCCCAATACACGACGGAATAAGGTAAGAATTTCCGTGTAATCGCAATACTGATACACAGGCCCATGTTTTCAAAGACTCCCAAATGTACTAAATCAGAGATGTGCCTTCCAGAGTTATAGGTGGTTTCCACCTACGGATCAGATGAATTTCTATGCATCACGTCCTTCTTAAGGCTCAGGGGTCAAGAATGCACTCAGTGGGCACTAGCTCAGTGCCCTCCAGGTGCCGGGCCAGACGTCAAACACTGGAAGTGCAAGGATGTGCATTCAGAGTCTTACAATCTAGTTACTTCCATTGGCGAGGGCCTTTGAGGAACCTTCAAAACAAGTCTTTCTCTTACGGCACGACAGACGTGCGCAACGGGAAAAGCTCCCGGGCAGGCGCAGCCCCGCTAGGCTGCCACAGGATGGCTTCCCCTGCCAACGCGCACACCGCACACCGCACACCGCACACCGTACGAAGGCTGGCTGGCTCTGAAGCATTTCAGTTCCCGCCGCCTTCTAATTTCAACCCAATTTCAAGTTTCGAGGCTTTTAAAACATCATTCCTCCCTTCCAACCTTCTGTCACAAACTGCTAGCCTAACTTTGGAACCAAAACGTTTTGATGCGTGACACTCTACTGCTCATCTCCATTTTCTCCACAAACACCAATTTTTCACCTCCTCAAGCAGTAAAAAGTTTAAAAAAAAAAAGACTTCCGCTGAAAACATCCGGACGCTTGCGTATTTACTTAGTTATTACACTAAGTTCACCAACTGAGTGTGTTGATTTTCCATATCGTTCGCCACTCGGTTTTTTGCAGTAAGCTTTCAAACACTTCAGCAAACTATGCGCGGAATGAAGACTGAGCGAACTAGCGCGCTTCTGCAGGCCCCTCCGAGGCCAACTCTTTCGGCCCCGGACGCGTTCCGTTCCGCGGCTAGCCCCGGAAGAGGCGTTTTGGGGACAAGCTTGTCAAGCGGGGCCGGCCGCCAACTTCGGGGAAGCAGCGCCGCGTCCCCCGCCCGCCCGCCCGCCCGCACTTGTTGCTCGCTAGAGGCCGCGGGCTCCCCTCGGGGCCCCGCCTGGCCGACCACCCCCGGTTTCAGGCGCGGAGCCCGGCCTGGGGCCCACGCCCCCGAGACGCTAGGCGGCCGCCGGTGGGACTGGGCCGAGGCCCCGGCACACGGGCCCCGGACGGGGTCAGGGTCGGGTCGCACCGGCCGCTTCCTCACCTTCGGGGACTGCGCTCCGGGGGTAGCTGGGTCGCTGTCGCACGGCCGCGGGGACAGCGCAGCCCCGGGCCCGGCCGCCGCCGCCATCAGCCCGAGCGCCCCGCGCCGCCGCCGACGCCGTCGCCTCCGCCTCGTCCCGGCCGCCGCCGCCGCTGCCGCCGCCGCCGCCGCCGCCGCGCGGGCCCCCCGCCGCCCCGGCCCCGCCCCCTCCGCCCGCCCGCCCGGGGGCCGGCCCCTGCCGCCGCGCGCCCCGCGGCCCGCCAGCGCCGCCGCCACCGCCATGGCCGCCGCCAGCGCGCTGCCCGCGCGGGAGGGCGCCAGAGGCTGGAAGGGCGCGGGGCTGCGGGCCGGAATGGAGGAGGCCAGGCGGCGGCGGCGCTTCTCTCGTCAGCCCAACCCGCCCGGCCGCGGCCGCCGCCTCAGCACCGCCGCCCCCCACAGCTCCGCCGATGGCCTAAGCGCCGCTGCCCCCCCCACAGCGCCGCCGCGGCTCCCTTCAGCCCCGCCGCTCGCTCGCCTCAGCGCCACCGCCGCCTCAGCCCCGCCGCTCCCCTCAACCCCACAGCCGCCTCAGCCCCCCTGCTCCCCTCAGCCCCGCGGCCGCCTCAGCCCCGCCGCCGCCTGACTCCCCACGGCCCGGCGCTGTACTCGACCGCGGCTCCCCCCAGCCCGCGGCGCGCCCCACCTCCCGCCCGCCCTCCGGCCCGCCCCGGCCCGGCTCGTCGCCACTTGGCGCGCTCGCAGCCGCCCCCTCCCCGCGGCCCCCGGCCCGGCCCCTCCACGCGTCACCCTCGCTCCCTTCCTCTCTCCCGGTGGCGCCCGCCCTGCCCTGCCCCGCCCCGCCCCGCCCCTCCGGGGGTCCCCGCCCCACCCCCTCCCTGCCGGGGGTCGCCCTGCTCGGAGCAGCCGCGCGGAGACTGCGCGGCCTCCGCCTCCGTGCGCTCGCAGTCGTCGCTCCTCGCCCGCCTTTGTTCTCGGACCGCCCCTCTCGCTGGCGACGCTCCGAGAGAGCCGCGGAGCCACCTGCCAGGGCCGCGCTTCCCCGAGCATCCAAAGCTGTCCCCGCGGGCTGTCGACGCCCGCGCCGGAGCGTGCGGGAGGCACGGCGGGAAGAAGTCGCTGAGATTTGGCCCTCGCGGCTTTGCGTTCCCGCGTGGTTGATGCCTCCGCCGAGAACGCGGTCGGCCGGGAGCCGGGGAGGAGCCTGGACGCCGGCCTGGCAGGTACCCCCGCGAGAACGTGGGAGCCGGTGGGTTTCAGATGCATTTATTACTGATGTCGGGCTGCATCAGGGCACTTCTAGGACCGCACTGAAAACAGCGGGAAGTGAGGAGCCGAGCCTGGGTCCGGGGCGGCCCGCCATACAGCTGGCCTGCGTCTCCAGATGACTTGTTCTGGAGAGTAAAAAATGCTCTCGGATTTAAAGTACAATCCTGTCTCCTTTCCATTCATTAGTGTTGCCTACACTCAGCAAACAAAAGTTGGGAAAGATGAGGGGAGTATTTCTAGCGCATCACATTGACAAACACCGACGTTAACACGCCCGGTCCAGCCTGGCCCACTTGCCTCAGGTCTGAGAGGTCACCACTGACAACGCCCGGACTTCAAGCCACTCCTAATCCACCTTCGTTCTCTCCGCCGCAGCCAGACCAGCCCTACTGCCCTCGCCTCAACACGCGCAGGTGTAAGCTTCCGCTGCACTCCTTGTCTGAATCTGCCCAGAAGAAACTGCATCTTTCAACTAAATACTTTTCACTGATAAGGGCCCTCCAGTCAGATTCTCTAGATAGAGTTTAGCGTTTTGTGTGTTTTTTTGTTTTTGTGTTTTTTTGTTTTTTTGTTTTAAATCTTCAGCTATTTGGTACTCCTTTCCCTCCGGGATTCTGTCTCTGGATTGTGAAAGCTGGCAGAAGATGGAGTCAGGGAAAGCCATGATGGGAAGGTTCTCACTAATAACTGCCTGATATAAATAATTGGCACAAAAGACTGCCAAAACCACAACCTTGCACAAAGGCCACAAAACTACACAAAAAAATGCTTCAAGGACATTTGCACTGCAACTGCCTGTCCAACCTTGGACTGGCCATCCCCTTTGTTACTTATCTTTGTAGCCAAGGATAATTGTTTCAAAACAACTTACGTGATCCTCCTCGTTTTTCCTTTTTAAACCCCTTGTCTTCCTTTACCTCCCTGAATACACCTATAGTTTAACATCATATTCTACATTGCAATGCCCACTCTCGAATAAATTTGTCATGTTTGGCAAACCTGCCTCTTATTTAGGTTGACAAATTCAAATGCAAATTTATTCCGGAGTCAACAAATACTGATTCAGTCTTCCAATGTGCAAGGCAAGGAAGAATATTAAGGAGGCACTGTATAGATTAGATCCCTGCCTATAGGCAGCTTCAACACTAATACAATATGGTACGAATATACAATTGTACTTTAAGGCAGCGTAGGTGGGAAAACAACTAGCAACTAAAAAAAAAAAATGGAGTTTACTACCAACTAAAAAAGTGGAGGTTTCAAGGTTGACATAGAATTTGAAAACTGCTTTAAAGACAGGTAGGAAAGATACAGGTAGATGTGCAATGGAAGTAGGCATTGGGTTTCAAGCCCCAAACTGGCCCAGGGGTGGTAAAATAGACATACTCAGGTACATTAATCATTCCAGTTTGGCATAAGAATAAGGTAAATGAAGATGGATTCTAGGAGTTAAGGATGAAATATGTAGGGAGGTACTATGAGGTAATGGAGAGAACAAAGATTTAGAGTTAAGACTTTGGTTTGAATCCCAGCAGTGCCACTTATTAGCTATGTGATCAAAGGTAAATTAGTTAATCTCTCTGACCCTCCATTTCCTCATTTGTATAACAATAATGTCCAATTATTCCACAAATATTTTATGGAAAGCCAAGTATTAACTAAGAACTATGTTCAATGATGAAGATATAAAAAACCATTTATTCATTCATTCATCAAATACTGCCTTACCGTTTACTGAGTTAGGCCCTGGAAATACAGTAATAAGGGGGAAAAAAAGCACGAAACTGTATGAGACCACTTAGATTATGCAGATATAGGTGAAAATAAGGCCCAAGACCAAGAAGTCCAAAGGTACTCAACTTGTGGAAGTAAGATAGAGAAGGAAAAAGAAGAAAACTAAGTGTAAAGTGCTGTAAACTGAAAGAAGAGAGTGTTTTAAAAAGAGGGACTGGTCACCTCTCCTAATGGAGAAGTGTGTTTGTAAAGGAGTTATTATAATGATGAGCCATGAAATCTAAGCTGGACAAGGCAGGAAATTTGAGGGCTGTAAGTGGTGAAAAAAGTCAATGAACTGGAGATTTCAGTAAGATTGGAGAGTGGCTGTCTTCAGGGTACTAGAGGTGGTGAGCTGGAAGGACAGGAAATGATTGAATGAGAATAACTTGCTTGAAATAAAGATTTCAGAAGTCATACTAATATTGGCAAGAGCAAGGTCTAGAGGAGTAAAAGGCAACTGAATGTGAGTTGGTTAAGGAATTAGAAAGTAGCATACAGACAGTCCTAGCGTGGCATAGTAGAATATGACTATAAAAATGACCATGGAAGTTGAAATTGTGCAAAGTGATCTTAATAATCAAAGAGAAAAATTAAATTGTTCTGTGACACTTAAGAACTTTTGTTGAAACATCAAAAACTCTCTTACTGCTAGGTAGACATATATCACGAATTTTTTTTAATTGTAAAACTAATTTATTTAGTATGCCATAATTTAAAACATGAGAAACATGGAGAATCAGTCTTTATTCTTTGTAAAAAACAAAAGAAAACAAAAAAACTTACCAATAGTGGTGTGAACTGTGTTTGCCTCTTCTCATATGATTAATCTTCTGTCTTCATAAATTGTCATTCTGCATTCTAAGTTTAGATTAGCTTCCAACATTTTGTCTTTGCATTTTCAATCTTGTGAACTATTCTCAGGAATTCTTAAATACAAAGTGTATCAGCAACACTTCCTGTGGGCCTCTTCACCCTTTTGTCACAGCCACTTTACTCTCTTAACATTAATCAATTCATAAAATGATGAAACCAGAATTTACTGGCTGAAAAAGGTTTTTATTTAGTCTCTTTGTAATTATCATTTTCTTTCAGCAAGACAACCAACTTCAACACTTCGCCCGAATGCTAGCCAGACTGATTGGGAATAAATTTAAATGTATTACAGTCTTCAATCAAAAGCAGGAACAAGTCTTTATATCAGCCATAATTTGCATTCTCTTTCTAGTGCAATTTAAACTAAAAGATCCTGAAGCAACTTTACCTTCTTTTTTCTACTCACTGAACATTTTCTCCGTGGTGTCTATGGTGCGTTTTGCGTAGGCTGAGGTCTCATCCTATCTTTGCTTTGCTTTTGTCATTTTCAAATTCCCTAATCACGTCTAATTTCATTTCAGCATTTTTTTTATTCGCTGTACTTTCATCTTTCTTGTCCAATTCCCTTTTAATTATCCATTTTTGTAAAATATCATGTTAGTTTATCACTGGGAAACAAGGAAGCTATACAACTACATGCTTTGCTGTTTATAAACTGAAAAACTGAGTAACGGTCGTGCAGTGACCAATAACTGACAGACTCTGAAAGAAGGATTGTGATATCTGCTATGGACTGAATGTTTGTGCCTCACCCACAAATTCATAAATTGAAGCCCTAATTCCCAGTGTGATGGTATTTGGAAGTGAGAACTTTGGGAGGTGATTAGATTTAGATGCGTTCATGAGAGTAGAGTTCCCACGATGGGGATTAATATCCTTTCAAAAAGAAGAGACCCAAGATTCATATTCCTTTTCTCTCTCTCCCCTGCCCCCACCCCCACCAAGGAAAGACCATGTAAGGACATAACCAGGAAGAGGGCTCTCACCAAGAACCCCACCACGCTGGCACCCTGATCTCAGACTTTCAGCCTCTAGAACCTTAATAAAAAATATTTGTTGTTTAAGCAACCCAGTCTAAAGCATTTCATTATATCAGCCCAAGCTAAGACAATGCCCATCTGTTATTTACATAGTGATCTGTGAACTGAAGAGCTAGCTGTGATTTTTGTTCTTTATGCAATTCCTCACATAAAGTTAATATGCCATCATAATTGAAATGTGAACCACGTTGTTGGGGAACTGGTATTATTTAACTAAACCACAGTAAATGAAATTTGGCTTGAATATTCTCACGGTGAAAATTGCACAGTGCATACTAGAACCATGCAAAGTGAGGACTACGTTGTTGGATGGCTCATCTATGTCGATGTTGAAGTCCCAAGGAAAGATGACAGGAGTTGGGTGGGGATGTAGCTCAAGTCTTCAAGTGATGGGGAGGAATAAGCCAGGGACTACAGGCAGCAGAAATCAACAGGTAAAATATTATATATCCAGATAGCATAAATTTTCAGGAGACAGAATTTTTTTTAAGGTCAAAGGGCTTACCTACCCTAACTCCTGGCTGTAAGTCATCAAGGGTTGAGAGGCAAAAAACAGCCTTCATTTGAGAGGGCTGTAGTGGCATTCCTCTTCAGGGAAAAGTCAGATTGCTTTTAAGGAAAGGAACTCAAAATGCATGTGGAGGAGCGGTTGCGAATACAGAGGAACCTGATGAACCCTACAAAGAAAGTTCCCACAGGCTGCGGTGGCTCAGGCCCGCAATTCCAGCACTTTGGGAAGCCGAGGCAGGCAGATCATGAGGTCAGGATATCGAGACCATCCTGGTTAACATGGTGAAACCCTGTCTGTACTAAAAATACAAAAAATTAGCTGGGCGTGGTGGCAGGCGCCTGTAGTCCCAGCTACTCGGGAGGCTGAGGCAGGAGAATGGCGTGAATGCAGGAGGCGGAGCTTGCAGCCAGCGGAGATCACACCACTGCACTCCAACCTGGGCGACAGAGTGAGACTCCATCTCAAAGAAAAAAAAAAGAAAGTTCTGTAACCCACCTGAAAAGCTTAGAGAAGCAAGGAGTCAGATGAGTGGATGTTCAGATTTGACTGATGGAATTGTTTATGTGTTATTTTATGTGAGTGATCTTCACAGTGGGCAAGTGGTTCAAAAGTTATGTATATGTACCTGAATATTTAGCACGATAGTCTGGTGGGGTCAGGTGATTCCACTCTTTTATAGGATCATGGTGAAGTACAGTCTAGGTGGAGTGGGGAAAGAGGCTGATGATAGCAGGGCAGAGGTTTTCTTGGTACAGGTCTCAACACAGCTTATTGGGGAAGAAGAGGAGGAAAGGAGTTTTATGTTAGAGGAAAGGCAATAATACAAGATATTATGAGAGGACAAAGGAGGGTATCTCACCCAATCTGGAGAAGCAGTGAGAGAGACGTTGGATTGGCAGTGAGAAGTGTTGCTAGGATCTGAGATCTTTATGAGGCACCTGGAATCCACTTAACTTCAGAAAATAGCCGAGTATTATATTATGGACAATCTAGAACCTTAAGAGTAGGCAGAAGAGTTGGTATTCACTCACAAGGCAATCAAGAGGGGTTTTGAGGCAAGGAGTGATATAAAGTTATGCTTCCAAGATGAAAACTCCATCAGTTTTATGTGTAAGGTATGGAGATGAGACTTAAGGCAAAGAAAATAGGCCCATTGGGTTTTCTCCCTGCCTCATTCTTGGAAGCATTTACTAGAGGTGTAGTTGCTGAATACCAGCACCCCAATACAAAAGAAGTTCAGTGAGGTCAAGGGCCTTGTCTGTTTTTTTCACCACAATACAATCTGCATCTCACACAGTGCCTAGAACATAGTAGATGCATGATTCTGTTGAACAAAAAAATAATAAATGAATCAATGAAAGAAAGGAGCTATTGAAACGGATTTGAGGGAAGTGAGTACCTAGGCTAGAGATACAACAGAAATGGAAAATTGAAGCTATTTTGAGCCACTTCAAAAAGTTAAAATCTATAGAATTTAACAACTAATTATATATGGGGGTTTAGAGAAGGGAAAGAAAACAGAGCTAAAGGTAATTTGGAGGTGTCAAACCTAATAAAAATAAGTGTGCATAAGTACTTGATTATATATTATTTAATTCACATGTAAACCTTAGGAAAAAGGTGTAATTCTCATTTTACAAACAAGTCTATCTATGAGGCAGTCAATTCAATTACCAGGTAGTATATTTTGCAATTAATTCATCCTGACAAGTTCATCAGGAAGGCACATTGCGTGATATGACATATTTCATACGTTTGTTATTACTAATTTTTTCTGTTGTCAAGATTAGCATCAATAGCTCCTTTTTACGAGATATTTTTGGCTACAACTATCATGTGTATGCTCTGTATGATGGTGGAGTGATTTTTTTCACCAAGCATATTTTTATTTTATTATGAAAGAACAGTTGTTGTGATATATAGTTGCCAGAAGGAAACTCTCAGATAATTTTAGTTTACTAATAGAATCAGTAGAAATTGTAAGAAAAGGCCGGGCGCGGTGGCTCAAGCCTGTAATCCCAGCACTTTGGGAGGCCGAGACGGGCGGATCACAAGGTCAGGAGATCGAGACCATCCTGGCTAACCAGGTGAAACCCCATCTCTATTAAAAAATACAAAAAACTAGCCGAGCCAGGTGGCGGGCGCCTGTAGTCCCAGCTACTCGGGAGGCTGAGGCAGGAGAATGGCGTGAACCCGGGAAGCGGAGCTTGCAGTGAGCTGAGATCCGGCCACTGCACTCCAGCCTGGGCGACAGAGCAAGACTCTGTCTCAAAAAAAAAAAAAAAAATTGTAAGAAAATGATCAAAATTTTTTTATTTCTTCTTTAAAAAAATGGGATACATGTGCAGAACGTCCAGGTTTGTTACATAGGTAAACATGTGCCATGGTGGTTTGTTGCATCTGTTGACCCATCCTCTAAGTTCCCTCCCCTCCACTCTCACCCCTAACAGGCCCTGGTGTGTGTTGTTCCCCTCTCTGTGTCCATGTGTTCTCAATGTTCAACTCCAACTTATGAGTGAGAACATGTGGGGTTTGGTTTTAACTCCTGTGTCAGTTTGCTGAGGATGATGGCTTCCAGCTTCATCCATGTCCCTGCAAAGGACATGATCTCATTCCTTTTCATGGCTGCATAGTATACCATGGTGTATATGTACCACATTTTTTTAATCCAGTCTATCATTGATGGGCATTTAGGTTAGTTCCATGTCTTTGCTACTGTGAATAGTGCTGAAATAAACATACGTGTGTGTGTCTTCATAGTAGAATGATTTATATTCCTTTGGGTATATACCCAGTAATGGAATTGCTGGGTCAAATAGTATTTCTGGTTCTAGATCCTGGAGGAATTCCCATACTGTCTTTCACAGTGGTTGAACTAACTTACATTCTTACCAACAGTGTAAAAGTGTTTCTATTTCTCTACAGTCTCGCCAGCATCCATTGTTTCCGGACTTTTTAATAATCACCATTCTGACTGGCATGAGATAGTATCTCATTGTGGTTTTGATTTGCATTTCTCTGATGATCAGTGATGTTGAGCTTTTTTTCAGATGTTTGTTGTCCACGTAAATGTCTTCTTTTGAGAAGCGTCTGTTCATATCCTTTGCCCACTTTTTGATGGGTATTTTTTCTTTGTAAATACATTTAAGTACCTTGCAAATTATGGAGATTAGACTTATGTCAGATGGGTAGATTGCAAAAATTTTCTCCCATTCTATAGGTTGCCTGTTCACTCTGATGATAGTTTCTTTTGCTGCGCAGAAGCGCTTTAGTTTAACTACATTCCATTTGTCAATTTTGGCTTTTGTCACAATTGCTTTTGGCATTTTTGTCATGAAGTCTTTGCCCATGCGTGTGTCCTGAATGGTATTGCCTAGATTTTCTTCTAGAGTTTTTATGGTTTTGGGTTTTACATTTAAGTCTTTAATCCATCTTAAGTTACTTTTTGTACAAGGTATAAGGAAGGGGTCCAGTTTCAGTTTTCTGCATATGGCTAGCCAGTTTTCCCAACACCAATTACTGAATAGGAGATCCTTTTCTCATTGCTTAATTTTATCAGGTTTGTCGAAGGTCAGATGGTTGTAGATGTGTGGTGTTATTTCTGAGGCCTCTGTTCTGCTCCATTGGTCTATATGTCTGTTTTGGTACCAGTACCATGCTGCTTTGGTTACTGTAGCCTTGTAGCATAGTCTGAAGTTATGTAGCATGATGCCTCCAGCTTTGTTCTTTTTGCTTAGGATTGTCTTGGCTATATGCGGTCTTCTTTGATTCCATATGAAATTTAAAATAGTTTTTTCTAATTCTGTGAAAAATATCAATGGTAGTTTGATGGGAATAACATTGAATCTATAAATTACTTTGGGCAGTGTGGCCATTTTCATGATATTAATTCTTCCTATCCATGAGGGTGGAATGTTTTTCCATTCATTTGTGTCCTCTCTTATTTCCTTGAGCAGTGGTTTGTAGTTTTTGAAGAGGTCCTTCACATCCCTTGTTATCTCTATTCCTAGGTATTTTATTCTCTTTGTAGTGAGTGTGAATGGGAGTTTATTCATGATTTGGCTCTCTGCTTACCTATTGTTGGTGTAAAGGAAAGCTTGTGATTTTTGCACATTGATTTTGTATCCTCAGATTTTGCTGAAGTTGCTTATCAGTTCCAGAAGTTTTGGGGCTGAGATGATATGGTTTTCTAAATATAAAATAATGTCATCTGCAAACAGAGACAACTTGACTTCTGCTCCTCCTATTTGAATACCTTTTATTTCTTTCTCTTGTCTGATTGCTCTGGCCAGAAATTCCAATATTATGTTGAAGTGGTGAGAGAGGGCATCCTTGTCTTGTACCTGTTTTCCAAGGGAATGCTTCCAGTTTTTGCCCATTCAATAAGATATTGGCTGTGGGTTTGTCATAAATAGCTCTTATTATTTTGAGATATGTTCCATCAATACCTAGTTTATTGAGAGTTTTTAACATGAAGGGATGTTGAAGTTTATCAACCCTATCAATCTGCATCTATT